AAGATAAAATACTGAGCAACACGAACCCCATAAAAACCGGGGGTTGTATCAGTAGCTCCGGAAGGGAAACAGATCCTGCTCCATATGTGGTGTCCATCAAGTGTCTAGACTTACATAAAATTACCGTAATTAAAGTGCCTTATAAATATTTTCTGATTTACAACTATCAATGCGTTTATGTCACTTGTTGCTTTTGGTTTGACAGTCATATTCGGCCTTGAGCGTAAATCCAGAAAAGTTCTTCAGACACATGAAAATTTTTTCAATGTTGTTACGGTGGCATTGCATGTATTGCTTGAAAATTGATGCTAGAAAACATTTTAGCTAACCCAAAAACAAATAACATATTACATTCTAAGGTATTTATTAAAATGGTATGATGTTCCTTATTTAGTTTTTGCGTCCATTTCCGTAGAAATTTTCAATTATTGATACTTTCTGTTTTCAAAAATTTGGTATCAAGCAGCACCAGTAATATCTACAAAATATGATATCTTTTATTTCGTTTTGATAGCACCATTAACGGTACGTTGGTTTCTTCAGCAGAATTTCTACAATAAATCGGTGATGCTCGATGCCCAAATATTTGAAAATCCAAAACTTTTTTTTAAATGAAGAGCTTATAAACCAATAAGAACAAGAAGCATAGAAAACCCCGGACAAAGAATCAGACCTTTGCACGGAGAGATGTATTTCTTAATTTAAAATAATTCAAGCATGACAGACAGTATGTTCTATCACAGACATCTATCAGAAACATAATTTGTATCAGTAAATTCTATATATTAAAATATGATATTAATGAAGTTTATACGACCTCAATTTATCAAAAAAATTGTTTATGAATGGATGATTCTCTTGTTTTGAAGCACCTATACGTACATCGTTCATTGTCAGATTTCTAGACCGCAGAGGTTAACGAATCAAGTACTGTTACTAAGATTGATATACCTGCCACTTACGTCGTCCCCACGTATTTTGTGCCAAACCTTTTTTGCAATTGCCTCCGCAGGCGTTCAAATACAAAATAGTCTGTTTGTATAACGAATGTTCTAACATTCGTCTTGATTATTTTTGTTTTACTGACGAGTGCTTTTTATTAAAAGTTAGTAGTGATAATATATTTTCAGGTATAAAAAAATGCAAAATGAGGAGTAGCAAATGTACTATCTTAGGTCTATTATTTGATGTATTTCGAGCCTTTTTTAATTTAGGAATCACAACCCATATAAAACTATACTGAACTATCCTTTACCCCCAAACCTTTTCATAGCGCAAACGTACCTAACCCTAACACTAGCCTTAACCCTTAAAGTAACAAAAAGCCGTATTTTTCATATATTTTCCTTTTCAAGGAAAGAATCTTCAAAAGAATATGTATTTGCAGGAGCAACACGGTACGCGCAACATGTGAATCCGGAACTGCTTATTCTTCTGGAGCACCCTAGTTCAACCCCTTTGGGTTCGTTGAGCTTGGTCTATACTTTTAATCGTAATATTTTGCATTTGTTGTCTTTCCGTCGGTTTTGTTTGTTTGTTATATTGGGCATATGATTTCTGGTTTTCCCTTTGGTTTCCTTCCTTTTTTCTCAAACGGTTATCATTTCAGCAAACGTTGATTAATTATCTTACATAGGACATAGTATTTCCAAAAAGATAGAGGTTACAATTAGAGATCTTGACAGTCTTTTCCATCTTGTATGAGATATGTATCTAATTATCATAATGTGCGCTTTAACAGACAAAATATTGCTGTTGTTTTACAGATAATTGTATACCTTTGAAAACTTTCTGACTGTATTATAGAAAATGTACGACCCTTAAATATTCGCTATTTTGGCACTATAGTTTCCACTTCAAAAATAAAATAGGTACAAAACTTTTGATGTCATTGGTATTGTTACAGGACGTTTACAGATGTGCAAATGTCAAAACAACTTGAACGCAAAATTTATTATGCAATCCCAAGACGGTGCAAAAATTTCCGGGTAGCTGTATATACACCGATTTCGGAACAGAAATCGTAACATATATATATATTGTCATATCTTTTAAATTGCCCTATACAAATTACGGTCAATTCAACATTTTGATGCTTACCCTTCAACGTTACAGTATTGAATATAAATTGAAATGAACGGTAACATGTAATTATTGTGGAGTGTGAAAGGTAATACTGTAATTGCCAACATATAACGGCAACATCATAACTTTTGTTGATACAAAACAAGAAAAAAAATGATAAATAAAAAAAAATAATACCAGTAAGATTTTAAGTCTTAAGTCCATTGACTTTAGATAAATAATACTTTGATATTTGTTGCCAATATAAATGCTGTTAATATCTTTAACATTCATGGCAGATGACACACACAGTCTCGCATCTTTTGTAACTCATGCATTCCTTTTTAAAGCTTAAAGTTTTTGGATTTTTACATTGATTTGTATCTTCTTAATTGATGTCTAAGATTTGGACATTAATAAACCACTGTTGCCTCTAATTCATGTTTGATTTGCTTACCAAGAAAATCATATTTTGCTAAGACATTATTCCATATAATTATATGAAATGTTCCGGCATTTACTTGAGTTTATTCGAGCATACGTCAGAACTCCTTACAGTTACAATTCACATATTCCTTCTGATACCGTTTCCACAACTGCTCGGGAATTCTATTCTTGAAGTTATTACTTATAATATATCTTTAAATACAAATTGTGAAATAGAAAATCCAGGAACAATAAACAATAATTGCATGACTGAAAATCCTCAAATATGTTTGATACTTTCTTTTGACGAGTTTTTTTTTCAGTGGCCCTCTTTCGCCTCTCTTCTTTTCAAAAATGAAAACTCACAATGAGAAATAAATATTAAATGCAAACGTTCCGTGAAATGTACCAACAACTAGGAATTTCTGTTCGTTACATAAAATCATAGTAGATTAATCAGCACAACTATGTTTACTTCAAATTCATGTAGATTAAATCGTCACTTCTCCCTTCTATGTTAGTATAGTCAGCGTCTGTACGGAAATGATTTATTCAAAAAAAAAAATTTCTCCATTGACAAATTTAGAACTTTTGAAGAAAAATAATAAAATGTTCCGTATTTTTGTTATTTTACTTTTTTCCAACTCTTTTTGGGAATTTTATTCTTACATGGAATTGGTTTTTATTTGTTTTCTGTCCCTTCACGTATTTAAGTGTTTATACAAGTTTGTTTTTAATTTCTTTATGTTTGATCGTAACTGATAAAGATAACTCCAGAAAAGTGCTATGGAAACACCAAAATTTAAAAAGTGTTATTTTTATCAAATATAGAAAGAAATAATTTAAATAAAACACAAAACTTGTATAGCCTATTTGTAAAAATATTAAAAAACAAAGGGTAAGTTCTGAATCGCAACAATAAATTACCAAGCAAGTTAGTCATATTACAGAAAATTTGTGAAAAGATCCATAGTTCGAAAAAATAAAAGAAACGAAAACACAAAATAAAAAGAAGTGGAAGCTAGATGATGCGACTCACTTGAACACTTTTTTAAATATAGACTTATGTTATTAGACCAGTGTTAATGGTAATATCGTAGGAATTGCCTGAGCATTTACCTCTTTAAAGGTGAAACTTTTTTACATCGCGTGCACTTCTAGAAGCTTAATCCTGAAATACGTATTATGCGTATCAAAATTATGAATAGTATATATAAAACAAATTGCTTCCTGGTGAGGTTGCTGCAGTTGGAAGATGCAAACCGGTACAAAAAAAAATAAATATTACAGCACTCGTGTAATTATTAATGACAACTAAGTTAGAAAATAAACGTGACAAAACTGATAGTCTCGCATCTTCAAGATAAAAAAGAAAAGTACAAGTTATTTCACTAAATTATTTCTAAAAACCTGTTATAATTGAATTTATTATATAATTTATTAAACAAATATATATTAAACTGAATTATTATACACATATTATATCAATATCCAGTTTTAGCAGGAATTAAATATTTGTATAGTCATATCAGAAAGATACTCAAATATAACAAGCAGTTCTGAAATAGTTGGCTCAATAAAACCTTTGATTTCGATTATTTTTTAGTAACATTTAAATGTGTTTCATGTACATTATCATCATTTTTTTTTTATTATTATCATTAATAATATTAATATTATTATTATACATTTTTGACAATTAAAACAATTTTGCAAAAAAGCAAGTTCTGTAAAAATGAAAAATTATCTCTCAACAAGAACAAAAATAGCATTCATGAAATGCACAATACTCACTTTCTATATCGATTCACAATTATAAGTCATAAATCAACATAATATTGTTAAAATAAAAAGCCTTAAGAAATATGTACTTCGACTATCGTATCTGCAACAGAATTAGTTATGTTATGTTGACAATATAATAAATTGTCTTCAAATCGCCATATAAATTTTCAAATTGACATTTCCATGAAATATTTATTCGATAAACTGACCATTTGTCTTCATTATAAATTCTATATAAAAAAATGTTGTCGATTTTTCAAGGTTAAGCCATATCATAATCTTTATCATGTTAAATTATAATGTACTACAAAAGATGTTATTTTTCTGACGTGTTAGTTAAACAATCTGTTCAATAGTAAATGACATTTATGTTGAAAAGGTGACAAACCGACAAATTACAGGGGACTGTGAAGGTTATTTCTTAAATCCTATTGTTTTCATCTTCAGACATTTGAAATATATCGGAATTGATTTTTTTTATTAAATAAACATTATTTTCTATCTTTTTGAAATCCATGAAAATAATTCAGCATTTATATTACCTTTTCTAAATTTATTCATTTTTTATTCCTTATTCGAGCCTTTCAAGGGTGTTGTCTGATTTCTATGGGTCAATTTGGTAGGCGTGGCTTTTCAATTGACAGACAGATCAAATTAACCCACTGTAAATGTCTCCCTGATGATAGGACTATGTCAGTTTTATGACGTAGTATATAAATGTAAAATAGTTACTACATACTGCTAGAAGGCCATTACAGTTACCAATTTCTGGGAATATCTTGCATTATCGGCTACAATCTCGGTGGACGCAAAATGCTAGCAGTTCTCATCTTAGCCACCATTGTGGGTAAGTCAATTTACAAATTAATTTTAGGAAACGAACTGTGACAAAAAAATAAATCAACATGAAGTTGATGAAACTGATAAATTTAAGAAATCAAAATCTTGCATGAATCGATAATCAGGAAAAGTTTATTTAATTTTAATTGTATATGATTTTATATAATTTTAGTTTGTTTAATATGTCTTTAAGGAGTAGACTGTTCTTATCTATTTTGAAATTTAGTTCTCTTTGAATGCGTATTTCATCAGCTTAACAAACAAGAAAAAATATTTAACCAAATATATTTCTTTATTTGAAATTTAAAATGAAAGCATTCGTATACTTATTCCCGTTATTTTCAATTTCAGCTTCCGTGGTTGCAGGTATGTTCAGTTTATTGATATTTTATTATACCATATTTAATTTGTTTTTATTAGTTTACAATACACTCGTGAACATTTGCAATTAATGGCAGACAAAAACAACAAAACGATTAACTGCAGGCAATATAACAAAATTGAAGTGACATGTATCATCTTTTGATTTTACAAGAGTTTGGTCATGTTATTTCCTTTGAACAATGAGTGTAAATTTGTTAAAAATAGTTGTATTGCAAACCTGGGACTTAATAAATGTCAGTATTCTATTCCCAGTGAAAACAACATAATAAACAAATTTGTTCATGCATGAAGGTTTATTTTTGCCGACATAAGCAAACAATTTTAATATTGCAATGTAATCATTATCGATAAAGTAAACATCCTTGAAAAAAATAAATCTTTTAGATAATGAAGCGATTTTATTTAAGCAGTTCCGTTGAATATAATGTATAAGAGTAACATTGGACAACCTTGTCGCGTGGCGTTAGGCAACATAAAATTATTGGAATGAATCAAATGTTACTGTCATCCGCTAACTGTTGTTTGCTAATGCGTATGGCAATCAGTTTTGAAATTTGAAAACATGTTGTTCATGTTGTAATTGAAGTCAAAGGATCCAAACTTTAATATCCATATCATTCGAGTATAAATAAAAAAAATAATTAATAACGAATTATATGCATGCTTACATATCCATTTGTTACAAATCGTATTAATTACATACATATGGAAGACCTTGCAGTGTTATATGTTTGTGATATTTTTTTATTTCGTTGAAATGCAATACGTCTTTATTGTCATATTCATCGAATAAAATTTCGGAAAAAACAAAGTGTGCTTAATTCCTTATCTTTAAATCTGTAAAATAACAAACTGTAGAGGAAATTTTGGTCTGTATACGCGAAATACACCAAGATCATAGCAAGAACATTTAAATTATTTAATACCAGCTGTCTATTTATTTGCCAATTTATGTTTGATTACCTTTGACATGATCAGCTACAAGAAGGAATGTTTCACTCAAAAGCCTTTTATGAGGTTGACCTTTATTAAGGGACATAACTCTTTAAAATCACTGGTGCGTTTAAGTTAGCCATGTTTTTATAGATATGTTCAAAGCTTCTTAGTAACACGAGTTCTTCTAATTCTGTTTCACAAGAACACTTTTAAAGGCATTGAGGAAACTGACTGTTGCAAACGTATTACTGATTTTAAAGAGAAATCTCCCTTATCCCTTAAATCTACCGGCTTAAATTTCCAATTCTCTTTTCACGATGCTTACATGGCTTTGACCTTTGACATTTATACAGTTAGCTTTTAAAAAGGGAATAATATATATGATATAATAAACTTCAAGGTATATTTTAATTAATCAATGTCTATGTATACTGGCTAGGTCGTCAAACTTTCCTCATTTAAGCAATTCACCTTTTATTTAGTTGAATGCTATCATAGTAATATTTTCAAAAGTTATACCAAATCGTTGTGATTTGCTTACAGCGTTCTAAACAATGGAAATGCATCCAATACTATGACTGTCTTTTCATTTGGGGGTACGCACGTAGTCAATACCATTTTAAAATGGATATTGAGGGTTTAACAGTCATAGATTATAGTGCTTACTTGGTACTGGCACTTTTCTATAAATGTGCTGAGATGTAAGAGTTCCGAGGAAAGGGGGCGAAATTGTTCAAATCTTTTTACATTCTTAAGGATAAGAAAATTATATTTTTTCCGATCAAAGGGGGTGTTGCCCCTCTATGTCCTTCCCTCCCTCCCTCATCCATCACCCCCCCCCCCCCCCCCCCCCCCCCCCCCCCGAGCCCCGACCCAAATCCGGCATTGCTGCGTGTAAACATTCTTATTTACATGATAGTCTTATCATCTCTTATTGATTATTTATTTATTTTGAATGAAAAGCAGACTAGTAAGTGAATGATTACATCCCGCAAACAATAAGACGGGACTGTGTATTTACAGATCGCATGCATTCTAACGGACGTGGCTGTGTATTTACTAATCGCTGAGTCACGCGGACACGGATGTGTTTTTACACATAAGGAACGACCAATCGTACGCTTCTCAGAAAATGTACAGTATACTTGCACGCTCTTGTTCTTCCACATATCATTTCTATTCATATGACTTAGGTATTTGCATGGTCATGCATTGTAAACGCGTAGGCATGAAATAATTATATGCGTATCCGTCTTATTAATGGTACTTTTTCATATAAAAAATCATATAGTTTTTTGTACAACATTCATAAAAAGTCGTTTAACTGATGGTTCATCCATCATATTCTATATTTTTATGATGGGAGGCACTATGTTATAGTTCTTTTTCCGCTGACATTTTTTGCATCGAAACAAGCTTAATATTTCACATGATTGAATGCTATATATGCTTAAATGTGTCCAGGAAAAATGCTTTCAATCATATTCTCAAGTTTTGATGACATTCATAATTCCGTTGAGTAAAAAACGGTAATTCATAACTTTTTAAAAAAATACCTGTTAATGTCATTCGTGGTTAACTAAATGAATAGAACCCTTACATTTGTTTCTATACATAAAATCCGCGTTTTGCCATTACTTTCCATTCAATTGAATCTCTCCTATGAAGGGGATACCGCTTATAAAAACCAAATGGAATTTTGTCGCATTAGAACAGTGTAGTGTAAATAACCTGTAGGCCATTACTGTGTAGTTCCAATTTTCTATTTCTCTTTGTAACCTGAACGGTTTTTCGCCATACATCACACAGTTTTACGAGGGTGCAAATGGGTGGGTCTCTATTCTCAATTCTTTTTTTCGGGCCAGTTTTCTCTTTTCTTTATATATTTTAGCACCTCATTATTATTTATCCTTTATTTTTTGGCCCATCATTCTCTATTCTGTAAACCCCATGCAGACCATCCTTCATTGTAGAGTATTACAATAATACAATACTTCTGAATTATATTTAAACTTGCAATCTCTGACGAACTCTTTTTTTCCTTCAATCAGCCAGCTTTCGTATAAATAACATGCAGTAAACTAAATTTTTATTTTATTTGTTTGGTGTTCATGTAAAATATCCTGTTATTCTGTTTTTATATTGAGCGAACAGAAAGTAGTTAGAGTACTGTTTACGTCACTGTTCATTTTGTGGGTCTCTTTGCAGTCCGCGCTTACGCCATGTTGATTTCTAAACTTAGATTGCGTTACCATAAGTTATTGATTGACAAAGAAAGATACTTAGACATTCTGAGAAAAAAACCCCGATAATTCAGGTCTTGCAATCAATTGTAGATGAGAAAAACCCTCTATTAATTGCAGAAAACCTCAATCATCTGGCCAGCCTTTATACAAATATTATTAAAGAAAAATTCAATAGAACACTTTAATGACTTAAAGGATAATGACAAAATGAAATATAGTCTCTATCTATCAACACAAAATCAGATTGCAAGCATAGGGTCCCGTGTAAGACAGTCGTTATTACTGAGGGGTATGGGGACTTGTAATTGAATTACATACTACTTTATAAGTTTGCTAAATTATACATGTTAGTAAACAGGAGAAAAGCTCGGCAGCCTTACTTTTCGTCCTGTTTCTAAAGTTCGTACAAACAAAATTATATTTAGTATAATGTGCCTATGTTTTATAGATGAATTTAATGCTTTGTCGTTATATGCCAATGTAGCCCTTTTAGTACATGTACCTTCTTGGTTTTTTAAGTTTTACTTAGATTTTGTCATATATATCTATGTTTGTTTGTGTCTATGTTAATTGTTTATTTTACTTTTACTTGCAGGACCACCAAAACAGAAAGGTAAGAATTTACTTTCTATTATGTGTTTGCCCCTCACCCCCCCCCCCCCCCCCCCCCCCCCCCCCCCCCCCCCTTCCCCGACTTTTTGGTCAAGAACATATTAAAAAATAAAAAAATTTCTTAGGAAAGAGGACACTGAATAACTTCTAGACTATAATACTATAGATAAGCTTGTTTGCTTGTCAATTATAGACGTCCCTTCTCCAAACTTTTCAGTCTGCTTCTATGCCACTGTACATGTACTCAGTAGTCAATGGTTACAAAATCGTTTGAAGACATACAGTTTTAATCGAAATGTAGTGAACGATAACAATGCATGTAAATTTAATTTAAAAAAAAACTTCCAGCTACTAGTACCTTGGGTTTAGTTGACCCTTGCTTTTCTTTGACTTTTTTGGTATGTGAATCATTTTTCGTATTTATTTGTTGTTGCTAAAGATATGTTTTAAAAATAAATTTGGTAATAGTAGAAAATGTCTTAATGATCGATACATACTAACATAATAAACTACAAAAAAAATTTGGTATCAAAAATTATTTATTCAAAGAAGAGTATATATACTATCAATATTTTAGTTTCGAGACATCTTAAAAGGATAATAATGATAAATTGCGTGATAGATATGTAAAACAGTTGACGTAACACTGACATAATAATTCTCCGATGGACATAATCTGTAACATATTTTATATCATATGTCTCTCAGCCTTTCGGTCCTTGTCGTGTGAACAAGATTATCTGTCATAGTTTTCCCATCTATTATACATATATCATGTTGTATACATATATATTTATCATTATTGTTTACTCCACTTGTCAATCAGAATATTTTCCTTTCTTTTATGTTTGAATATCATTAGTGGGTAACGGCTAATAAATCATGCGTCTAAGTGACACGCAAATTTTCTATTTTTATAGAGGTTTTGTTTTATATGCATTCCCAACTACCAAGAAGTTTAGTTTTATAAGCTTTTCCAACTACCAAGAGGTTTTGTTTTATATGCATTCCCAACAACCAAGAAATTTAGTTTTATACGCATTCCCAACTACCAAGAGGTTAAGTATTATACACATTTCCAACTACCAAGAGGTTTAGTTGTATATACATTCCAAATTTCCAAGAGGTTTAGTTTTATACCCATTCCCAACTACCAAGAGGTTTAGTTTTATACACATTCCCAACTTCCAACAGATTTAGTTTTATACACATTCCCAACTACCAAGAGGTTTAGTTTTATACACATTCCCAACTTCCAACAGATTTAGTTTTATACACATTTCCAACTTCCAAGAGGTTTAGTTTTATACACATTCCCAACTTCTAACAGGTTTAGTTTTATACACATTCCCAACTACCAAGAGGTTTAGTTTTATACACATTCCTTCCCAACTTCCAACAGATTTAGTTTTATACACATTCCCAACTACCAAGAGGTTTAGTTTTATACACATTCCCAACTTCTAACAGGTTTAGTTTTATACCCATTCCCAACTACCAAGAGGTTTAGTTTTATACACATTCCCAACTTCTAACAGGTTTAGTTTTATACACATTCCCAACTACCAAGAGGTTTAGTTTTATATGCATTCCCAACTACCGATTTTTTGAAGATTGAATGGTGATATTTTCTGGGCCATATGAATAATGGTACCGTTTTTATAATTTTCACTACTATATAACATTGATCCAAAATGCACACACATTTTATTGAAGTACTTCTGTTATATATTAGTATATGCATGATGACCGTCATTTTTTCCCTCTAGCTCTATAAACTTAGGAACACTATTGATTTGCAGCTATTTTTAAAAGCAGTGAATACAAAATTTAAAAACAATTTCTCAAAAACTCCTTTTAACCTGTGTGTAGAATAATTATATAGTTATCTACACCTGATTTATACTTTAACTTGGAAAAATGTGCTGGTTTTTATATATAGGTCACCGTACGCCTTCAAGAATGGACAAAACACTTACCGTATAGCTTTCAACTCTAAAATGTTCCAGCATGACAAAATGATGAATCAATTCAAACGAAAAAAACCAACTGTTTATGCTTAAACGAAAAACAAAAGGACAGACAGTTATAATTTGCCGCTTTTCAAGCTTCATTACAGTGTTTTCTAGTGTTTTCTAAATATCTAAAATATCAAAAGAAAAACATCGATATCGAGTCAGATAGAATGAGGTTTATTTCTCTTAAATTCAAACAAATTGCTATATTATACTGAATGAATAAACAAAGAATTGTTGACAATGTCATTTATATAGTAATTTTTATTTTAATAAAATATTTGTTCTTTTTACAGTGCACTTTCAACGTGAGTATATATATATCATACAAGTAGCACAATTTTCAATAAATGCTTAGAGTTAATATACATGAACAAAATAGGTTCTCCCATTTCTTAACGATATATTTTATTGTTTATTTCAATTTGAGTCAAAGTCCGGTCAGATATGTAGCACAATTTTCAACTAATGCCTAAAGTTAATATACATGTACAATAAAGGTTATCCTATTTCTTGATGATATATTTTATTGTTTATTTCATTTTGAGCCTTTTAATTATGAAATACATGTATCTCAAAAAACTGTGGTGTACACCGTACAATTTTGCAAATTTATAATACTATATATAAGAAAAAGTAAAAGGACCATTACTCAAAGACTTACTTACTCTTATATGCATAGTTGAAAAGATTTTTTTACTTAAATACTCTTTATTTATATTTACCAGAAACACTCATTTATAACACTATTTGTACTTACAGCTGTGCCAAAGGCTGTAACTCACGAAGAACCAGCTCTCGTTGGAAAGAATGGTGAGTTAATAACTTCTGAACAGTCAAAACACGATACATAAATAGCAGCATTACCCAGAACAGTATTAACATGAGACGTAAATAGCAGCCTCACCGAACTGTAAACAGTAATACAAGGAGACGAAAACTGCAGCATTACCGAACTCTTAACAGTGATAACACAAGACGAAAATAACAGCATTACTCAAAACAGTATGAACACGAGACGTAAATAGCAGTATCACCAGTTCGTAAACAGTAATATCAAGAGACCAAAACTGCAACATTACCGAACTCTGAACAGTGATAGCACAAGTCGAAAATAGCAGCATTAACACACTCTGAACAGTCGCATTACCAAGCTCTTAACAGCAGCATTACAATATTCTTCACAGAGCATTATAAACTCTTAAAAACACCCTTACCTTACTATCCAGTTGTGGGGTGTATGTTAATGAAAAAAAAGACTTAAAACAACGCAATAGCAACGACACATGGCATACTAAATATTACCTTTAGTATCTTTGTATAATACTTAATTCATATTTTGTTTTTCTTTACAGTTCCCCTTTTGAAGCAACATCCCAGATACCACAAACGTAAGTTTATTTTATATTATATAAGAAGGTAAATGGTTAAAAACGTTTTATGGAGTTTATGATGTGTGTTTGGCAGAAAAACGTATAATTCGTGAGAATAAAAGACAAAGAAGCATCAAAGTATAAATGAAAAGTAAACTCAAAGAAAGATAAATGTTAATATTTATAGTTTTTTTAAAGTCAAAAGGTTATATTACAATAAAATGCAACTGAATACAAGTCAAAGTTCAAGACAATTGAAAAAGGACAGCCGAACAATTATTCGCTTTAGAATAAATATGAATGAATGAATATGTCGGATAAAACTAAGAATTCAAGACAAATTGAAAAAGAACGGCTGAACAAGTTTTCGATTTATAATTTATATATGAATGAATAAAGATGTCGGGTAGACAACAACCTTACAAATAAAAGACATCTATTGGTCAACCATGTTTATACTCTATATCAACTCCCGCCGATATCACCATGAATTATTCGTTATTCAAAATTGTGATTTTCTTTTGTTTTCCAGAAATCGTAACTGTAGTTGACCAGGTAGCAAACATCATCAAAAGTAAGTACCATCTAAATATAGAAAAGGTAGACAACCTAATATTCTTAGATCTCAGAGAGCGAGAAGCTTGTTTTATAAAATTGTGAATTAAGTAGGGATTTGCGAAACAGCTTTTTTTTAAATAATTTGAGAGAGTCTTTTCTTTTTTGTCTGCTGAAAAATGTGATTTCAGTACTCAATTCATCAAAATCATTACAAGTAAATAAATGTTGGGTCCTACATTAAAGGTTATTAGAACTGATTCCAGGGGATTCTTGGACTATTTACTGGAAATAAATGATTGTATATATATTAAAATTTTGTACTTGTAATTGTCACACATGTACTGTTTGAAGTTTATATGGCAATATAAACATTTAAATGATGTTAAGTAAGAATCATTTGTATATGTACTTCTTTATTCATCTCTATCCTTTATTCTAAAAACTGTTTTTTCCCAACTTTCATACTTGGCCATGTAGTTTAAAAATTATCAAGACGTTATGGTTTTTAGTTGGGAACTTGTTTAGGATTAGACTAGAAACTCTACCAATTTTAATTCACCGTTTTAGAATTTAGAGCATCCAGGGAAATCTTTTCAAAAGCGTACACCAAAACGTTGTGATTTAACTAATGACGCGACGTTATTTTTATTTTTGGGTACGAGAAACGAAATTACCCATAGTCCTTTAGATTCTGAAACAGACAATTGTAACGCGTTTCAAATTGTCTGTTATATTTTTACAGCTGTTCGGCGCTAGTTCAGCTCGACAAAACTCCTGTCACACAAATAATAGATACTGGTAATAGAAACTCATTCAATCCTAACCCCTCCCCCCCAATCCCCCATCCGTAAAAAAAGACAGATTAATATTTTTTTTTAATCTGTTGATGGGAGGGATATATTCTTAAGACCCCGCTACATCATGTCAGTGGGACGGACCTCCTTTATATTAGCTATATCAATAACATATCTTAGTCTATTCGTTTATTTTCATTTGTTTTTTTTTCCTTTCAGGACCTAAACTTCTCGTCAAAGAAAGTAAGTATATATATTTGATAAGCAATGATTTGATATTTAGCTCAGAGAAAGACGCATGCGTTATCTATAATAAAAAAGAAACCTTTATAATAATTTAACCTATATTTTGCAAGTATTGGTAAACAGAGTTCATTTTTTTATAATCTCCTACATGTATAAATTGGATTAATAACTGCTTATTAAGCGTCCAGTAGCGCATATTTCAGTATATATTTTCACATTAACAGAATTTTGCATGTCCTTAAAATGTGATTCAAATTAAAATGATATATTTCTTCATTTTATATTTATTTCTATTTTACAGTTGCTGTCAGAGAAAAGTGTGAGTAGAAAACTTAGTGTTACTACGGTAACTATGGTAGGATCTTATGATAGTGCTCGGTATTATGAAAATATCCTTGTATCTTCAAGAAAATATGTATTGTAGCAGTGAGGCTTAAATAGTTATTTTCGCAATATAGCTTATTTTTTGTAAGGAAAATATGATTTTAGAAATATATCTGATCTTTTTAATCAACATATGTGTTTTAGCAATATATACTATCTTTTTAAGGGTAATACGCATTTAAGCATCTTTAAACTAGTGCATAGTTTTATTTGTTTATGTTTTTTTTTTTTTTTTTTCTTTCTCTTTTAACTTTCCTGACACGGTTAGTTTGTCAAATCTTTGAATTTATTTCAAAATGTTAATATTAGTAACATAAATGATATTGCAGCATTTTCTAGGAAAACAGACTTATTGTGAAATCGTTATATATTAGCTATATGAAAGTGTGTTTAAACAATTAAATTTGTATGTGTTAATCATACATGTATGAAATGTATTTTTTGTTTCTAGACCCCGTTGAAAAACCAGTGATTCATCACAGAAGAGGTAAGCTATTGTCAATTATCGTTACTTCTACTTTCGGGTTTTGATTGCACCCTTGATCATATTTGTCATCATTCCTATATGATTTTTATATCTGCAAATATTTGAATGTGATTGGTCCGTAAGAGTTTCTTTCCTCGGTTTACATTTCAATAGACCATGATGCCGAATGTTTTCATTACCTGTTAACGCTTAGTCGATTTCACTGTGTTATCTTCTTGTGGAATCCTTGGTTACCGCGAAAGGTGAAATCTAAAGAAAAAAATAACATGTTTGAGTGTTTGAGTGTAGAATTATTCGGATAAAACACACACATCTTTTCTGAGGTTATTGATGTGTCCATTGGGCGATTTCCTTGAAGAAGTATAAAAATCTTTCTAATCAAATGTATTAAATATGACGCATAATGTGTTTCCATATCTTTTTATTACAATGTTTAAGTATATACTTTCTTTTTTTCAGTCATCAAGCCCATCCATAAAACTAGAACTAGTAAGTATTCTATTATATTTTTTTTACAGTAGCTATGAATGAACTTTACAACTCTTGGTTTTGTAAGAGAATGAAGGGATTTTATAGAACAAGTTAATACACCAGATCGCTTCTTGTCCATTTCAAAATACACATTACTTGTCAATTATTGAGATGTGTACTATCAAAACCGTTTTTTGAACCAGTTGTACATTAAATAAAAGTACGTACCTACTTACTATCTATTTTCAAAGATTCTTTGGGCAGAATTAATTTTTCAAAGGAGTCTGATTTTCTGTGTTCATATTATATTTTCTTGATATTAAAGTTTTCATATGCACAAACAACACTTCACTTAATCGACCTTCCAAATATTAGATTTTGGCCGTGCACGATGAAGATGCTGCTGTGCAATTTACCAAGCATGAAATGAAAATATCGTTAAGTTTATAACACAAAGACACCTGATGAGAGGGAAATAACTCTAGTAGAAAAAATAAGAGACGGACTATTAAAAAATGTGCAAGAATAAAGGAAAAAGCTACATAGTATTTATATTTTTATTTCTTTGTTTTCAGTTGTTCACAGAAAGAGGGGTGAGTATAATCATAATAGACTTTCCTTGTCATGGAAAAACTTAGTCGTTGTCTTTATCATAGTGGAATTAACTAAAAGTTCAAAATTTTGATATGTCTAAGTTTTATAGGTTATGCATATTCTATATAATATACAAGAAAATAAAAGTAAAGTTTAATGATATTATTTTCGATTTCTGATTTAGATTTTTTTTTATCTCTCTATTTAGTGGAGGAATAAATACTAACTTAAATATATACTTTACTTTTATCAAAAATATTAATCTTATTTAGAACTACGTGTAAAAGAACTTATATATTGTCTAACATTTAAATTTGCAATAAGTGAATTTGAAAATTTGTTTCTTTTATTTTTTGCAGTTAAAGTACCACGTAAGTATACTATTTGATGGTTTTATGTTTTTTCAAGAATTTGAATTTATTTTGAACTTCTGCTTGGTTGGTCAGTTTATCTATATGCATGCCTTTGAGTTTAAGTTCAATTTTCGAACTTGTCAATGTTATTTGCGAGAACATTTGGACAAAATGGTATTTGGTATTTTTCATTTTTTTCATTTTTTTTTTAATTCATTATAAAAAGTAAATGTATAAATCGACCACTTCTTTTATCTTTGGTGTTAGGATTAATGTTCGGGAAACATATAAATTCCAGACCATTTATCTATTTCTTGAAATGTGCAAATATTTTAACAATTTTCAAAGTACCAAACTAAAACTAACTTCATTTTATGCCATTTTAGGACCAATCATCAGAACTAAAATCATTGCAGTTCCCCAACCACACATTGTACACAAACCATACCACAGAGTAAAGACTGGTAAGTAATGATTTATAAAATATTTTGGGTCTAACAGAGAAATCATGCTATGAAAACCTCGGCTATACAGCTCAATTTTCTTATTATACATATATGGTAATCACCGAATCTATATATATATATAGAGAGAGAGAGAGAGGGAGAGAGAGAGAGAGAGAGAGAGAGAGAGAGAGAGAGAGAGGGGGGGGGGAGCTCTTGTTTTAATCAACATGACAAACAAACATACGAACATGCATAGTATATATGGTAAATCAATTCTCAGAAAATTCTATGCAGATATATTTATTTAACTAAAATAACAAAAGTAATCATAGGTATGAAAACGTTTAATCATTAATAAATTGCATAAGGTGGTACCAAACACCTTCACTAAAATTAATTTGGCTCGTTCAATTTTCATAAAATTTTGACAAAATATTTACTTTGACCCTTTGTCAAAAATATAAAAAAAAATTCAAAAAACTTGAACCACACACTTTATAGGAAAAATTTCATTGGATATATAGCAGTTTGACAAACACTATTTTTGATCTTTGAGAAGCTTAATATTTCCTTACCAATAGAACGTGATCAAAACGTTCAGCTGATTTTTACAGCGTTATCTCCCTGTAGTGTTATGTACCACCATAAGTTAAGGAGTTAGATTTGGCAAAAAAAATATATCCTTTGTTTGTTTGTGTTCAACTGATGAGTTCGAATATCCCTCTGTTATCTTCTGCATCTCTATTACAGCTAAACTCTTTGCTGTGTTACACTATCAGTTTGCTTGTTTGTAAGGTGAACTATGAATTCTTTATAAGCTAAAGTACATATAGAAACAAACTGATTAAAAAGGTTTTTAACCATATTTGAATAACATATTACAATGTATATGATTTAAACTGTTCTTTGTATCTACCCAAATATATATTCTGAAAGCATTTTTAAAAGACAAATCACAATATATAATATATCAATCTTATTTCTTTTTCAGTTACTCAAGTTTTCGAACGAGTCCGTAAGTATGATCGTAATTTTTCAGACATAAGTTGAAGAACAGCAATACAAGCGTTGGCCCTTTCCTTTTTGGTAATTTTCAATTGCGTGTAAATTTTGTCATTAATTTATACACCACATCCTTTCATTTCTAATATACAAGATTTCATTAGAAATACCGAAGTGGAGGAAAGTACTAGTGTGAGTACCACATTCCCCTGAAACAGTTATCTTTTAAGTATACCAAAAGACACCCACTACCGATGTTCCTGACTTAAGACAGACACAGTAAAATGTGACAGTATCAAATCCATAACTGAAACAAAAATCTAGGAGAACATCTTGTCGTCAGCATACAAACAAACTTTTTTTCTATTAAAAAAGGCATGTGAAGTTGATTGTTTATTTTTTCTTTTTGCATTGCAGACAAAATCCCCAAACCAATCCCAAGACCAGAATTGAGAATCAGTAAGTAGTTATATTATAAGCATACAGTCTTATTATTTAATGCTAAAGTTGAATGATGTCAACAATAGAATACGCGTTTCATAAGGAAGACAGTTGTTAGAAAACATATATATTATTGATCCATTTACCAGTGGTTTACATTTGAAAAAAATAAGATCTCTTATTTTTGTACAATACATTAATAATATTTTTTTGGCTAATAGTTGAATGTAGAATTACAAAATGAAAACTGTATCTTTCCTGTCCTTAATAATAAACAATGTTACGGATGAAGTTAAGGATGTTTGCTACTCTTGTTTTTGACTTTTTGTCAGATACTCGGAATCCTCTTAGTTTTATCCATGTAGTGCCAATAAAGAATTTGCCTACTAAGTCCTACTTTTCTTTTTATAATTTTATTACATATAGTTTAAAAGGCCATTTTTGAAAATCTTATAAAATCTTATAAAATCCATGTTATTTTTTCATAGTTTTTGAGAGAAAAAAAGAGCTAATGTGAATGAAAAGTCTAGAGAGAATTATTTCCCGCCAAATTTTCAAATGATTATATCTCAAAATCAAGGACACGAACCTATCATTTTTTTCTGCTTTTTAAGTACGTTATTTATAAATATCAATGTATAATAGTCTTTTAAAAAGCTTATTGTTTTGAAACAGAGGAGCGAACATCCTTAAATATGAACGTGGTTTCAGGAATTTCAGACTCGTTTAATTTAACATGTATTTTGGTCAATATTTAGTTCCCCTATAGTTACAAGTTTTGGATATAGTAGTATGCTTTGTTTTTCATATATGAATGAATAATTTCAGTCAGCCGTGACAGACCATTCCCAGTAGAAAACTTGGTTATCAGAAAGAGACCTAGGGTTGGTGAGTACACGTCTTTTTTTCCATAATTACAGCTATCTTAATATAACAAAGTTATTAACAATTTCTAAGAATTATACCTGTCCATCAACGACAGTATTTATGTGATTGAACGCAATATTAATAAACGTTTAATAATATAATCCAGAGATACACATCTTCTTTGATAACGTGAAGCAGTATCTACGTCACCGTTAAAGACGTTTTCACCATTCAAAACTTTTAAAACAGGAAAACAAAAATACAGTATTACTAAAGTGGCTACTAGTATATGTTATCATGTGGTTTGCGTTATTGAGAAAGTGTTCCAGTAGTTAAGACAGTTTTCATTTAAAAAAGTTTAATCTTTAAAAAATGTGTATCCTATCATGATGAATATTTCTTTTCATTTACAGTTGAACATCCATTCGACAAGCCAATCCCAATTGTTGAAGAAATCACAAACGTTATCAGAAGTAAGCATTTTTATATTACATTATTCATTGTTCTTTTCATTGATTTAGTCATCATTTCATGTAATACATGCATTGAAGCTTCAGAAGTAAGTCGAACAAATAGGCAAGATCTGTAAAACGCTTGAATCGGGAGAGGAAATTTCCGTTTCATTATACATTCTTCGTGCAATCGGCAAACCTCGACAGATTCCGCCACCCTTCTAACTAACTTAGACCTGCCGAGGTGCGGCGAATGATTCTTCATGTACACATGACAAGTAACATAATCTATGACTGCAGTGAGTTGTGCAAAATTTGTCGGACAACGATATACATTGTTTTTGATGGGAGAAAACGTTTTATAAACAATTCCTATAAAAACTAGATTGCAATGACACAAATATTACAAATATGTTTTGTATGAATATTTTAAAAATATAAAGAAGTTATATTGCATTTGTTTTGACTATTATATCTTGCTAATCATACGTCCTTTTTTACATTTCAGAACCAGTACCACGTAAGTCAATTTCAACAGTATGGTAACTTGAACATAGGAAATCGTGGATGTAATGATAAACAGTTGTGTTGTGATATTCTCACATTTTACCTTAACACCCTCTTGTGTTATTTATCGTGATTAAAATGTTTTATTAATTCTAACCTTTTTTTTTCAAACGGTTTAGTTTAAAATATTGTTTCATTCAAAGATCAACAACAGCTATTTAGTATTTTTTGTTCGGTGTCTTTGGAGAGAAGATCCACACACACAAACAGAAAACTTTATAATTATATAGTTCATGTTTTATTTGCTCCTAAAAATAGTATTATTCATTCGCTTCATATGGTCTTCCGAGTATATTTTTGTGTTCATCTTAAACCGGTACATGCTTATTGATAACATTCATGACTCATATATTCTCTTTTTTTTTCAACAGACCCTAAGAACAAAGTACTGACAGTTGATAGTAAGTGCATTATTATATAAAAAAATATGTCGACGGGAGAAAATACGTATACCGTATTAGTATATTCACGGTATTAAAATGTAAACTTCAATATATTTGTAAATAAGTCGTTGCACGTGAACACATGGTCATGATGTAACCGTTGTCTCATATCAGTTCCACTTCAAAACAATGTTGTTCAAAAATAAAAATTAGATACAATGATTTAAAAAAAAATAATGTAGAAATGTGCATTTCAACTCTATATTAGATTCACTTACAATGAAAAACGACAGAAGAAGACATTCTTGTTTATGAAAAACATATTTTCTGCAGTATTAATAAAATGTTTTTTTTTTCTTTACAGAACCAGTCATTCACCACAAAAAAGTGCCATATTTCCCAAAAGGTAAGCAGTAAATAGATACGTTTTATTCGTTCGGATGCTCGCTGATGTTTTTGTTAGATATTCGGACTCCTTCAGTTTTATGCATGAAGTGACATCAAAAAATTTTCCCGCTAACACTTACTTTTCATTTCATAATTTTATTACATATAGCTTAAGAAGCCATTTCTGAAAATCTTATAAAATCTTTAGGGGCGGATTTAGGGGGGGGCAGGGGGCCCGGGTCCCCCCTTTTTGTGGGAAAAATTTGGTTGATTATATAGGGAATAACTGAAGCATGACTGGAGCGGGCCCCCTCTTAGGCAGTCAGTTGGCCCCCTCTTATGAAAATTACTGGATCCGCCACTGATCTTGTGTTGTTTCCATAGGTTTTGCAAAAAAATGTATCAATGACACGGACCTTTCATATTTTTCTGCTGTTTTAGTTCCGTTATTTATATACTGTCAATATATGAAAGTCTTTTAAAAAACTTGTTATTTTGAAACAGATCAACGAACATCCTTAAGACCCGCGGTGCAACTTTTTTTGGTTGTTAAACGTTTGGTTTAATGTTTTTTATGATAAAATTGAGAATGGAAATGGGGAATATGTCAAAGAGACAACAACCCGACAAAAGAGCAGATAACAGCCGAAGGCCACCAATGGGTCTTCAACGCAGCGAGAAAATCCCTCACCCGGAGGTGGTCCTCAGCTGGCCCCTAAATAAAATTGTGTGCTGGTTCAGTGAAAATGGACGTTACACTAAACTCCAAAACATATAAAAGAACTAAAATTTAAAAAACATACAAGACTAACAAAGGCCAGAGGCTCCTGACTTGGGACAGGCGCAAAAATGCGTCGGGGTTAAACATGTTTTGTGAGATCTCAAACCTCCCCCTATACCTCTAGCCAATGTAGAATAAAGAAACACATAGCAATGTATTTTTTTAACATGTACATAACATGCATTAGTTTTTTCTTAAACAAAAACTAAACTCTGATGTTTATTTTCTGATGTATTTATATCAAAATTTCCGAATGTGAAGATCTAATTATCAATAAATTTTTACGGTTTGGGTGTGTCTTAAGTTAACCCGGAATAAAATATAAAGATCTATTATAAATTTTGTGTACAATAGATAGGTAATTTTGGACACGTATTTAAAAACGTACACATTTTGTGCTTCATTTTTTTAGTTTAAGCGTTACTGATTAAGGTACACGCTGAAAAATGATTCGGACGCAACAAATTTATAAAGTGTTATTTTCAAAATTACTTATGTACTATGTCAGAGCGGATGGTGTTTATAGAATACAGAATAAAGGGAACAAAATGCAGGATAAAGGGCGAACAAATTAAAGATTAGAGAACAATAGGCCAAAAGAATAAAGAATATGGAATAATGGGGTGCTAAAATAAAAAAAATAAAAAATAATGGTAAAAATTAGATAAAGAATAGACAAAAAGGTACAAAAATAAAATAAAGAAATGAGAAATCCCACTTCCAGACCTGCATGCATAAGCGTTGTACAAAAAAGGTAAAATAAAAAAAATACCAAAACTCCAAGGAAAATTCAAAACGGAAAGTCCCTATCAAAAGGCAAAATCAAAAGCTCAAAACTCTCATATTCCTGACTTGGTAAAGGCGTTTCCTTATGCAGAAAAAGGTGGATTAAACCTGGTTTTAATGGAAACTAAAATAGAAACATTTTAGATTTATAATTAATAATGATGGAATAAGAACATTGTTTACCATAATATACTGAATTAACCTGGTTTATTTGTATATTTTAGCTCATGGTGGACACCAAGCTGGAGGTAAGATCACGTGCCCATGTATTAATTGAAATAAAGTGAAAATCACGAAAAAAGGGGGGAGCCGGGATTTTTAAAAGGAATAAGGCCTAAAATTGGTACAGATATCTTTATAATTATCACTTCAAGGGGAAGCCAGGATTTTTAAAAGGGAATTAGGCCTAATACTGGTACACATATCTTTATAATTATCATTAAAAGGGGGAGCCAGGATTTTCCAAAAGGAATTAGGCCTAAAATTGAAACAAATATCTTTATGATTCTGATTGAAATTGATAATACAAAACACGTCCATCTGCATGATAAAATCAAATGGAGGTATGTGTTTTATAAAAAGTGTTACATTGGTTATATCCTAAATATTTTATCACCTGATATCGCTTGATGAATTCCCCTGTAGTTATCACATTCTGCAATTCTGATACTAGTACTCCATATCTTTGATCCTCTTTATTCTCTTCCCATAAATTTGTCTCTAATTTGTTCATACAAGATTCAGTTGTAAGTGATAATGATGTTTCATATCAACATATCAACAACGTTCTCGAAATAATTTCTTCACTGGTGGTTCATGTATAAAATCTGCTGGTCCTCACTATTATTTCTATTGCGAAATACTATAATTGTGTCTAGTTTTTTGAAAATTGTGGTTGTCAAAACCTTCCAAGTTATATCCCTGATATCTTTGAGAAGTTTCTTTTAACCGTCAATAACTTTTACGAACAATACCCAATAGTCTGTCCCCTGTGTTTATTCTAGGAGCAGTAGGAGGAAATGTTCAAGTTATAAGCTCAGGAGGTGGTCATGGCGGCGGAGGTACGACAACAAAAAAATAACCAATCAATGTGTTGTCTACAAATAATCCTTTGTTTCCTAGCGAGTTTTTTTCCATACGTATATACGTATTACATCATGAATTTCATCTGACCGCCTGTAATTTCAGGAACTATCTAACTAAGGCATGTTCTATTTACGAAAAGGTGTTTGGTTATGTATTCTTGTGCATTCGAATGATGATATTACTTGAATGATTTGAAATCAGTTTCTCGTATCACCTTTTCTTTAGTAAAATATCACTAAGATACGTAACCGCTTACGTCACGTTCGGTCAGTTGAAATAAATAGATTAATACTCTGGTGTATATATCCCACTTATACTCAATGGAGTGAGTTTATGTCTGTCCTTATTATTCCCTTGTTTTCTGTATGTGGAACGGTAATAATTCCTAGTTGACATGGTATAAATGATCTGCCTTGCACATAGTATTTTAGTACTTTGAACACTTAAACCCATTGTTCTTAACAGTTTTGCACTTTAAAAATAATAACCTGTACCGTAGCACGTTTTTGTTATACTAATTTAACTGATAGATATTTTTTATTATGGAGTTAATATTTCTTTATAAAATTATATTTTAGATTACCAGTTTATGATTTTCAACATTCTGATACAATTATTTATCAAACAAATACATATTGTCTTCGATGATAATCATTATGACTGGATACTAAATTTGAAATTTGAACCTAACACTTTAAATATCAAACTAAACCTAGGATGAACCCTAACCTTTTACCTCTACCTTAACTAAACCAGATTGAACTTAACCTACATTACCTGTCCAACCTAAACTGGGAAAACCTGACCTGCCCTTAAACTATCCAAACCAAATCATAGCATTAATAAGCACAAATAAGTCAGTTGGTGTGTCACTCATAACTAACATATTATATTGTTGCTTTATCCCAAACCTATATCGTTTTTTTAATTTCTATTTCCATCGGCAACTTATCTACGATATGTTATGTTTTGCAATCTATTGATTTTTCTATTTATTCATTATTTTAAACAGTATGATTAGATTATTTTAATAATGGATAGATAACTTTAATATAAGTTCAGATCATCATCACATATTCAGGATCACAAAAGTGTGTGCTGTACAGGAAAACAATCACTGGAAATGTTACTGATTTTGATTGTTTGTTTTGTTCTAACGATATCTGTCTTCAGTATATCAACTCTTGAACATGTAATTTTTCTAGTTGAAAATTCTTTTTCCCCTCAATTATATATCAATGTGTAGTTTGCATGACATCTTGCACTATATAAGACCTTTATTGGTACATGTTTGATAAAATGAAACGTATAACAAAATATTATTTAGATTTATAACCAATTGTTAAAATTATAAAAAGGCGACAATAGGCAAAAATAAATGGAATATTACTTAATTGGTATGTCGTAGTGATTGCAATACTTGTTATGTTGAAGCAATTAGAAGTATCTTTTTTGGGAAGTGGACTATATACACTCGATACCGTTGCTAACATTTGTGGCATATGTTAACGTACAGGAACACAGACTAAAATGTATGAAAACCAAAGTGTAACATCAAATTTTATATGTCTGATTTCTCAGAACCTCTTTTTATACCATAATGACATTTGAATCATTTTGAATTCAGGAATATATATCCTTGGTGCATAGCTTCGATTCTTTGTCTGGGATTTGCTATACTTTTGTTCCTTTTCTGTTATGTCAGCTCTTCTGAGTTTGTATAAGGTTTTTGATTTTGGCCAACAGCATCACTGAAGATACATCATTGTTGAAATGATGCTCATTAGTAATATTAATATCGTTTAATGTCATTGCACTATCATAGCTATTGAGTTGTAGCTTTTATTGGCTTCCTATCCTTGCTTACCTCAATGCTTATTTATGCTTTGTGTCTCTCAACAGGATACGGTCAAGCAAATTACGGAATTGTAAATCAAGGTAAATTGAATATACTTAAATAAATATATTATCAAAACTGTTTATCAGGTCATTTTCAAAAATTCATTTCGTATACATAATAACGAGAATAAAAATGCAATGTATTTCTATTTTTTTCAATTACTCAGATTAATACAAAACTTTATAATTCAAGATTTAAAATTTTTCTATTGTTTAACTACTCAGATTATTTCAAAACTTAAAAATTGTATATATCTTTCCTTTTTTTTTTACCTCGTTTTAATTTTTATTCATTTTTCATGTTTTTTTTTTTTGTTTTTTTTCATTTATTATTTTTTTATATATTCATTGGGTTATGTAATGTATTTTTTTTTTGTATGTCGTAAATTTTCAAATAAACTATCGGATGATAAATAATGTTAAAAAAGATTAAAAGACGATTAACTACAATCATTGTGCTATCGCATATTTCTGTACTGCACCAGGCTTTTAATGCTTCAATTATTACTAGTTACTCATAGCTGTCGGTCATTCTCTTTAGCTTTGTCGACTGGTACACTGCGTTACAAACTACCATTGATAGTTCGTTATCTGATTGAAGGTCAACATGAATACTTTTGTCTACTCTTAATCTTTGCAAGATTACTAGGATTGATATTCTTAATGTTACATGATATCATTCGTGTCAATCTATTACGGACAATAAAACTCCTTCAATCGTACAATTGATACGTGTGGAGAAAAGTGTCTGCTGATGAGTTGTCATATGATGAATTTTCAATGGTTTTTAAGCGCAGTGTATTTGCTTTGCTTTGCAACAATTCGTTTCTTCGTTTTAGGATATGGACAACAAAACTACGGCGGCCAAGGTACTTAATTTTGCACGATTTAGTACAATGCAAAATACTATATTTGCAAAGTAGATTTCGATTTAGCTGTATATCTTTAGTAGTCTATTAGAATTGTCTTTCTAAATAACCATATTTTGATCAAGTCACTACAAAAATTTAGGATAATAGTTCAAATTGTATGTGATAAAGAATAAAGCATCAATCAATTCAATGCCTAAAGATTAAACCTTCAATGTTAAATTGTTTTATCAAAAAATGGAAATATTGCGTAAAATCTCAGTCGAGTCTATTTTTCAAAATATTGTTTTGACAAGTACATTCGACTCTATTCGTAGTTTTATTATAATCTCACTTGGTCCATATCTTTTCCTGTGAACATTTTCCTCAAAATGCAACATTTGTTGTGTGAAAGACAACTTAATAAATTTGTTTAATTGTGAATTTGTGTCTCGCTTAAGCTTTATCTGTTATTTAAATGTGATTCCTGATTAAGTGTTTCATGCAATGTCCTTCACATTGTCATAGCTTTAATTATGCTTTTAATCAAACTTCATCACAAATTAAAATCAAACCTTCAGTAACTCGAAAGCTATAATTTCCATAGCATTAAACAATATCTGTTTAAACCCTGCTTCATCTTCTTAATACATGTCAATGCTTTTCTTGTGGCTTATTTATGCTTTCTAATTTGCAACAGGTTACATTGAACCAAATTACGGATTTGCTAATCAAGGTAATTTTGACTTTGATGGAGAGTTGTCTCATTGGCACTCATACCACATCTTCTTATATCTATATTCAATTTAGTAAGAATTGTGAATCGACGAATTATATGAACAATTTATCAAATAAGGTTGTAAATGCAAATGATCTGTAAGATATTAGCTTCTCATAGAACTTCAAATTTCATAAATTGTATACGATAAACACAAAATTGTAAGTTGTATAAGATAAACACAAGCAGAAATACCAAAATATATAATATCTACAGTAAAAAATCTATATAAAGGAATAATTTTTATTTGGAAATTAGAAAACTAACTTCTAGATATCTATAACATTTAACGTGTCTTCTACTTTTTTTAGGCAATAACAGGTGAACAAACGAAAAAAATATACATATTTGTTTTATTCATTTATTTCACAATGATTGTAAATATTCTGAAGAAGAAAAATTGTATAATAAAAATTATTTATTATAAAGAGAAAACATACCTTTAAATCATTTTATATAAGTCACCCTGTTGCTTTATATGTTTTTGCTTCTACGTTTGTCTGTCTTGCATTTTGTTTATGTTATGTGTGCTTCTCCATTTAGGCGTAGCATACAATGGAGGCCAAATATATGATGCCGGATTCAATCAAGGTACATAAAGCTTGTATATCTTAAATTTAAATCCTCATCGAAATACGTCTTAGCAAAATGTATCAATTACAAGATGGTAGAAATAAATCATCATGCAAGATAAACCTAAACAGTTCTTTTAATGCAGTTCGTCTTTAATATAAAGACACTGTGTATACAAGTCAGTAGGATACTTCAGCTAACTGTCACATAATGCTCCATATGCACAAGCATAATTACATAGCAGGAACCAGCAATCATATACGCTGTATTCTCACTTCAAATTCTAAGATTCGAAACAAAGTCGGTAAAATAAAACTGGACTATAAACGACATTATCCGGTCTATGGAATAAAAATAGTGGCATTGCTTTACTAGAACGTTACATATATTAATAATGAAATTCAAGTTAGGAAATATAACCGTTTCATCATTAATTTTCGAACAGTAATTTTCACTGAATAAGGTTTATATATGTATATGGTATTTTTCACTCAACTGTAAGAAATAATTTACCATTGTGTGCTATGATTGTGCTTTATTTGTGCTTCCGAAAAGTATTGCAGTTTTTGTCATGTTTTAAATGTCTGTTGTTTTTTCTTCACTTTTTAATCCATGTACGTTTTAGTATTCATACAATTTTAACGGAATTGAGCCAATTTCATTCCAAATTGTGTGACATTATTTGTGCTTTTACAAATAAGATGATTTTCTCATTTATAGGATATGGTCTGGGTGGTGGTATTCAACAAGGTACATATTCGTAGTTTTGTTTCATATATCAATGTACAAATAGTGTGTGGTATTGCATCTGACTCAAAATTAACATGTGATTAGGATCATCGCTCATGTTGTGAATTTCTCTTTTTTCATTGGTTTATACTTTGATGTTCGTGTGGTAAACATTGCAATTTACATTTACAACGTTTGATGTGCTGTACTCTTTTAAACCTGTACCACGTGCACAACTGAATAGTGTGAATTATTGCTTTGCACGCTGTTGCCTTTTCATTGACTACTTGACAACTATACTTAGGCCACTGAACCTTCCATTTCTGTATCATTGCATTGGCATATAGTTTTTTTCTGTGGCTTGTGCATTTAGAATTTTAAATGAACATTGTCCCACTGCACATCTGCATTGCCAATTATAACTTAACATAAGTATGCATTATAACAGTATCATACTTGCACACTTGTAATTCATACAATGCATATTTATACATATTCTACCCTCACACACTAGTTATTTTACTCTGTGTTATTTAGTTCAATTTACAAAGTATTGTTAAAAACTGCTTTTTTGTTCTGCACTTTGATTTTATCATCATAGCTTTCAACACTTTGTAGGAATGTACTTAAACCAGGGTTTAAACTATGGATATAATCAACAACAAGGTACAAATGTGTTGGCGAATGTTGTGTATCTTGAAGGCCAGTTAAAATAATGAGGGATTCAATAGTTTTTTGTTAAAATATTTTTGTAGTTATCAATAATACCAATTCATTATTTATTATTGTGTAAATCACTTAATCATGTTAAAAGGTATTTTTTACTCATTTATTTAATGATTTGTTTTCTATCGAAAAATGTAATTCCTGAATTTTTTTTTATTTAGTTGGCCTGATTTACTATATATGTAGATAGTTTATAATATTTGATATCGTAGTTCTATGTTGATTTAAGATATAATGTATTTCTTATCAGATATAAGTTGTTTCCATATGAAGGCGATACCCGAGAGCTTTTTTTTTTTTTTAACTTGAATGGAAATTTCATCTGCGCTTTATTTTAATAATTATAAATTTTTTTATACAAAAAAATAGTTGATCCCTTATTTATTCTTGTTTGTGTGGTTTTTGTTTTTTTTTAATTTTTTTTTTGGGAGTGGCATTTTTTGGGGGTTGACAGTTATATATGTATCTACAATCAACAGCACCACCATATATATATTCTTAAGATCCATTAGTAATTGTAGTAAAATAAGTTATATATTAGCTGTTATTTTAGAATGACTCATCTCTTGATTTGCTGCATGAGAAATATCATATAATTTCATAGTGTATTAGAAAAAGACTGCGTAGCAGAAACATATTTTATAAAATATGTATCACCACATAATACTTAATTTAGATAGTTAATTTTACTCCATTATCAAACAACAAGACATCAAATATAGAAAAGTTTACTCCATTATCATAAAGACATCAAATATAGTTAATTACTCCATTATCATAAAGACATCAAATATAGTTAATTTTACTCCATTATCATACATCTATACATCAAATATAGTAAATTTTACTCCATTATCATACATCTATACATCACATATAGTAAATTTTACTCCATTATCATACATCTATACATCAAATATAGTAAATGTTACTCCATTATCATAAAGACATAAAATGTTACCTATTTGTTACTTAAATTAACAATTAACATCAGTTCTACCATTTGGATTAAAACAAGAAATTTTCAGTACAAAATTTAAAGATTACAAGCACCTTTTTTATGTTAGGATAATTCTATTTATTTTTAAGGTTCCTTGTGCTTTCTTCCAATTCTTTTGTGCTTTTAGGCTTTCATTTCGTCAAATATAATTTCTAAAATTACAATTTTGATTTTTTTTCTTATTTCTTACAAACGTCTTGGTCAGTTCAATACCATATTTCATACGTATGTCATGCTTGCAATTTTCTACTCTTCAAGTCATCGTCATAATGTCCTGTTGACTTAACATGTCAACTTCTTTGTATGTTTAACAAGAACTAATGTTTGTGGTTGTAATCTAGGGTTAACTCTGTTGAATATAACTTTTTATTTCTATATTTTTTTTAATTTTGCAGGTTATGGTCAACCACTCTATTAAGTTTAGACGTTAACAACTTGGTAAGAAATAATTTCTTAGTTTTTCTAATGTTTCGGATGGCATTATCTCAAGTGCTCCGGAAAGGTGAGCAGATCCTGCTCCACATGTGGCACCCGTCGTGTTGCTCATGTTAGTACACAAACCCGGTGATATGTTGAAACTAATTTATGAAGTTAAGACGTAATTAAAACGTAATTAACTAAACGTGCTTTCAAGCTATGTAATAAATATTTATTAAGAAGGGAATCATTCTTTCTGAAATTGAATTTCGAAAAGAGGGATCATTGATATCCTATATTTCCTCATCATAATCCACCCATCAAGTTTTTTTTTATCAGAAAAGCATATCTGTGCGCACTGCAATCCGTACTAAAATATTATATACATTAAATATTCAATTAAAAAAACATTTATTTTGTTCAAGTTTTACAATACAATTTATTGATGTGTATTTTCAAGAATATTTTAGTTTGGTTTACTCATTCGTATTTACATAGTTCCAACACATACTTACAAATGAATTATATAATTTATAAATTGTTCGATTGCTAATTATAGATATAATTTTAGTTTATTTTATTACAGCCAATTTCGGTGGCAAGTTTAGCAGAATTTACATGGTAATTATTTTTGTTATTGACATTTCTTTGTCCTTCAACATTTCTGCAGCGTGTTTCCTATTGCCATTTCTTATTGATCCATTTCCTTTCTGTATTCGTAATTTGATATCCAGTTTAAGGCTTTATATTTTTATTTTAAAGAAGTAATGAACTTAAAAGAGAAGCGGAAGATACCAAAGAGATACTCAATCCCATAAGTCGAAAACGAATTGACAATGCCATGACAAAAAAACGAAACACTTTCATAGGACAAATAACAGTCTACAATACACAACATAAAGTGTTTTTTTTTCAAATTAGATGTAATTCTGTAAAAGAAACAAATCAATCAAGTCAACATGGTCATACCTTGTCGCTATTTTTATATGGAATGTGTTGATTGTATCTCAATTAAAAAGATTTGAAAATGACTACTGTATACTTCCTTCAAAAATGTGATTGTTAATTTCGTGTTTTTCTTTTTCTTTGCAGGCATCACTTAATTGAGATTGTAGCCAAACATGCAGTTTAACAGTTCGGGGCTTTAGTTCTGTTTACATATAATGTAGATATTAAATATTGCCATCGTTTTTCAGTATGTATTCATCATCTTCGGGCGTCTAAAATATATATTTTACATAAATTTGTCTTGGTTTCTATTAGTTGTTATGTTTTTGATTGCATTAATCAAAATCTGACAGGTCTCACAATTGATCAGGAAGTTAGCCGTTTCAGAATCTAATGTATTTTTTGTAATATTTTCAAAAGCGTACACCAAAACGTTGTGATTGGTTAAAACGTCCTAAACAATAAAACTTCAACCAATGACTACGTGTTATTCTCATTTTGGGTGTAAACAATACAACTATTCAGTCCTTTACATTCTAAAGCGGCGAATGACATGAAAGACAGTCATAGTCACATGTAAATCTATAGTAAGTGAAATAGCACTAAATTAAGTATGTGCGTCCGAAGAGCTTTTACTGGTTAACCATCATCAGGAACGCTCAAAGCCAAAATTATGAAGCAAAGAATGTACAAATACTTTAAAACGTGAGACACTGTACGACCAAATGGGAGCTAAAATCAGCCTAAGCTCAAGTTTGCCTGAGGGAGTTGTAAACCTGTATATGCAGTGACCCAAATTCTGTTTATAAATAGAGTTTCGATTTGTTTTTGTACCTAATGTGAGCAAACCCGAAAAATAACCATATCACTTCTTCAACTGAAAATATCACATGACCATTTACCATGTCCACTACTGTCCTAACATAGAATAAATCAAATACAAGTTATGTGGCCATTTGCTCTTGAACATGCAAGATATGCTGCTTAAACCAAACCAAAGCAATTATATTTCCATCTTACACCACATCTTAACTCCTAACAATCAACAATTTCAATATAGTCAGTCTTTAGTTTCTTGTTAGGCCAATTAAAATTAATTGATAGATTTTCATCCCCGCCCGCCCCTCTCAAATCGTTCCGCCCGAATTTTTTTTATTTTGAAAAATTTACGATTTTCGGATTTTGTTCATTTTCGTTACCGGTAACTGTCGATAATTTCGTTTCATTAATAACATCCTGTTTCAAATTTTGGTTTTTGCATTTCTTTGTATGTTTGATTCGTTATACATGTATATACATGATAGAACCTTATTATTACACTTGCATATATGAAGAACACGTCACAAGAGCGTTTCATATCTAATAAAAAATAAAAAATAAAATCCTCCCACCCACCCCATTTTTTAAAAAAATTTGGATGAAAATCTACTAATTAAATTTACTTGGCCTTATGTATACTGTTCTTTGTCTTTTGGTCCGTTTTCTTTTTTTCACATAGGTTTGTCATCGACTTTGGAGTTGGAATATCCCTGTGGTTTTCAGATTAGGTATCTGGATAGTATAATCTGTGTACATGGGAAATATGAGTCCTCGTAAGGACTTTGTAAGACTTCGATGTGTCTTCACACCTGTCAATGAATTGGTCATCAACAATAGAACTGACCTAAAGGGCTTAATAAGGCACAGTTACTCTGTGGTCGTTTGTTTGTCATTTGTCTAGCATTCAAATGATACAAACTGTGGAAGACGCGTAGTAAATACTAAAGTTAACTCGCACACATATTCCTCAAAATACAGTATTAGTCATTGGTAAACACCAATCCAAGTGTCTGTGAACTCTGAGGAGAGAACGATTGCTTTCAATTAGCATTGTAAACTTGACTTGAAACACTGCATTGTATTTATCAACAAAGAACCAGATTTATTTCCCTTTGTCGATAAAATTGTAGGTTGAAAAATAGATTAATACAACAAACTGGCATTACTTTCTGTTACTTGTGTAATGTTTAACTAAATGGTTTTCCTCAACAAGTCAGGTTGTGCACACACACATATTTTGTAGTCTGCATATCACATATTATTGAAAAAAATCCTGCATGGGCGAGACTACGATATGAGGAATTTATACCTCACTGTATTATGTTATGCGTACTCACTAAACACATTTAGGTAGAATAGCTAACCAGGCAGTGGATATAGTTTCGATTGGAATTGGTACAATTTTTTTTCTCACAAAGTATTTGTTATTTCAAAATTATTGGTGTTATGATCTTGTATGGTTCCAGGTTTAATCCACAATTTTCTACATAAGGAAATGCCTGTACCAAGTTAGGAATATGAGTTGTTTTCCATTTGTTTGATGTGTTTAAGCTTTTGAATTTGTCATTGGATGAGGGACTTTCCATTTTGAATTTTCCTTGGAGTTCCATATTTTTTTTTATAGTACTTTTTTAATCCCTTCATATCAAAAATAAAAAGATATGGTATGGGTGTGAATTGGAAAACTATGCAGTAGATCCCAAATGACGTGGGTGTAAGCAAATAAAGGTCACTGTATGGTCTTCAACATGAACATAACTCATACCGTATAATAGCTATATGATGATGTCATGGAAAACACCTCTTATGATTGCCTGTAACATTAATTTTTAACCCTATGAATCACCTACAGTGACATTCATTGCAGATTTTACCAGAAAACACTGCATATTTTTGTCATGGACTAATCAGAAAACACAGCATACTAAAAATATAATACATAGGTGTTGATGGTGTAATCAAAAATATTCTGATGATTGCCTTAATATTTTGTCTAAAAGAGAGGTGGAAGATAACAAACTTATGAGTGGAAAACAAACTGACAACACAATGACAAAAAACAATCAAAAGACTGAGCAACACAAACCCCAATAAAAAAAACTGGGGGGTTATCTCATGTGTTCCAGAAGGGTAAACAGATCCTGCACTAAATGTGGCACCCATCATGTTGCTCATTCAAGTGCAATTTTAATGATTTGTCTTATTCGGTAGGTCACATTCAATGAAAGAGAAGGGGATTGTGGTAATGACATTTGGAACATATCTGTCCTCATCTGTCATAACTAGAATGACTCGTTGCAGTCTACATGAACAGCAATTTATCCAAAAACACAACATTTTTTTCTTGGCCTTATCCCTGCAAAAACACCTCTGATGATTGACTGAGTTTTCTTGTCTTGGTCTTATCATAAAACTTAACAAAGGTGTTTGTTGATGGTGCATTCAAAAACAACAATGATGATTGCCTGAAATTTACACATAAGTCTAATCAACTGTCACATTCAGTGCAGACTAAACAAAAAAGATTTTATATGTATAGAAATTTTATTAACAAATAATAAGAACAAATTTAGCTATTTAAATATCTAGTTCAAAACAAAAATGTAATACAGGTTATATTAGTTTAATGAAAATTTATTAATTTATTAAAGGAACCCGTCATAAAAAAATATCTTCCAATCCCTTTATGCAAATTTTTATATTTTCAAGCTCAACTCTGGAATAAAATATACGAGCTTGAAAACCTAAGAAGCAAATGTTCAACTTAACATGAAAATTCTGATTTAAGGGCTTACTGAATGCTAAATATCTGCTGCTATTGCTTCAAAAGTGGGTATAAAAATCAAGGATTTCTTGAAATGAAATCAAGGCAAATTAATAAACTTTCCCCATTTTTTTTGTGTAAATATTTGTCAAAAAATGTAAACAATAAAAGAGAGGTTAATATATTTCATGAGGTATTGTACTATGATCAATAAAAAATGAATGTCACCACTTGAATCCCAAACTGTGAGATAAAGTTGATGTGTTGACTAAAAGAAATTTACAACAACCTATTACAAAAGTAAACTATATTATTACGAAATAAACAAATAAATAAATTAAAATGCATATCATTATAGACACATTGTGACAACTGTAACAATCTTTTTGTTTGGAATATACTCATCTCAAATCAACCTCTTTTTAACCATCCAATAAAAACACAAATTTTAAGTTTTTATTTTCATACAAAACGGACAGATTTGAATGAAGCATATTACAAACAAATTAATTTTCCCAATTTTATATAACAATAACATTTTCATTCATTCACTGTACATTTGATCTTCCTGTATAAATTTCCCATAATTCATTGCATTTCCTGTTTTACAATATGCTGCATCCTGGGCTTTGAGCTGTTGTTATTTCTTTTGCTTCTAGACCCTTCTCTGCTTCCCGTATACTTGCAATTACCTTGAAAAGAAAATGAGATTCATGTTATACTGAATAATTTTTGATAATGTCCATACTTGAAAATTATAATATTTTCAATTCCTAATGGAAACCTTGAATTTTGTTAAGGTAAAAACTATAAATGTGTTTTTGTTAGTTGTTTTTGTGTTTGTATCAATCTGATGAGTCAGGCCGATTTCAACTGATTTTTATAGTTTGTTGTACTAGTACACTACAATCCCAGGTTAAAGGCAGGGTCGGGCTCCCACAATCATGTTTAACCTATCACATTCTGTATGTGCCTGTCTCAAATCAGCAGCCTGTAATTCAGTGGTTGTCATTTGTTGTTTCAATTCATAAATTGATTGTTAATTGTTTTGTACATAAATCTGTCCATTATTTTTCTCGTTTGAAATATATTTTTATAAGTCATGTTTGTCATGTCTGGGCCTTTTATGTCTTTCTTTACAATATGGGTTTTGCTCATTTTTGAAGGCCGTACAGTAACTTATAGTTGATAACTTCTACATCATTTGGTCTCTGGTTGTGAGTAGTCTCATTGGGAATCATACCACATCTTCTTATTTTTATACTTCAATCACAACAGTGACAGAGATAAAAATAAACCTACGTCTTCAGCTGCAGGGAATCCACCAAGTTTCAGTTTAGAGAAGATCAACTTATCATTCACTGTTACTTCAAATGATGCTGAAATTAGATATAATAGTGTATGCAATATTACAAAAGCTTTCATAAATAAAACATAATCAATGATTCAAGTACTATATCATTAATGCAAAAAAAAGAGCGAGACCCTTATTAGTATTGAAAAATTCTTTACAGACTATATTTTTTGTGTGTTTTTTGCTGTGTACGTACTGATTTTGTGTCATGGATGGATACTCCATATCCTTTGTTTTTCTATTATACTAGATCACACCTGAGAAATCGCGGGTATTTAAAGCTTGGTTGAAAGTATGTTAACTGTTGTAGGATGAATTTTTGAAAAAGATTTTATGTGGTACCTACACAGAAGAACACGAAATAAAATTGCCATTTCGCGATGAGCGAACAATTAAAAATTTCTTGCACGTTGATCTTTTTATCGATTTCAAGAAACACGGTGAATAACGAACCTTTTTCACGGCTGCACGTGAAATAAAAAGTGGCAAAACACATTGCACGAAAATAACCCTTTACCCCCTCTTTTAAAGTTTAAAATAGGAAGTCTTGGGTATGACTTAAAAGTCGGTCTGATGACGGAAACAATATCCGGACGCCTTTTTCTTCGTTTTTCTCCCAAAATAACCCAAACTGAATAATCATAAGAATGGATGACAAATGCGACTATGCATGGTACCTATAGGACACAGAGGCATGATGATTAATTTATTGGGGAAGGAAGAGAAGCGACACACAAAATGAGGTCTTCTCGTTTAATAGTATAGATATTCTTTTAAAGTACATGTGCATTTTGATAACTTTTTGGTAGATACATTTTTTCAGGGTCTTCATTTCTGTAATGTTGTTTAAGACCATTTTTCTCTATTCTTTATGTTTTTCCAATTATTCTTTTAATTTATTATATCTAAGCACCCCATTATTTTCTCTTTTCTTGATTTTTTGGTCTGTTTTTCTCTATCCTTAATATATTGGGAGGCAATTATTCTGTATTTTGTTAACCCCATCCAGACCCTCTTTTATATGTAAGATAGGTAAGTTTCATTCCCTTCCAGAAAAGTACATGTGATTAACAAACTTAAATAATTTTGGCAACTATCTTATAGCTCTAATTGATACTTTATGAATTCATTTTAGGCATTCCAATCATTGAGCATTCTTAATGAAGACTTTGAATAACCCATGCACATGGATTATTTATTATTTTTTGTGTTACAGATACTGTACATAAAAGTTCTTATATATTAGGTTTTATTTACATGTTCTTACTCAAACCAAAAAAAAATCTCATACTGGAAGCAGTTAATGTGTGCCTCTCCATAGTCAGAGATTGCTTTTGTGTCGGACAACCCTTTTTCAAGGCTTGCTCAAGTCTTGTTGGGGTTGTTGCACACCGCCACATCAAGTCCTAAAAAAGGCTGTGAGACATCAAAGCAATCTTGTCCAAGCCTCCCTGTATTCATTTTCTAGTATAATGTAAAATAAATGGAGAATGTGTCCATGGTACACAGATGATGCCCCCGCTTGGATTGAAGGTTATAAAGGGATATAACTAGAGAACTTTAAAAGTGACGCCACCCAAATTCGAACTTGATCTGTGTTTTATGGAAATAAGCATTGTGTATAAGTTCATGAAGTTTCATAACATTTAGTTGAGGCAAACTTAATAAGAAAATTGAAACCAATTTTGGGACGTACATACGGACGGAAGGAGGTACAGTCTGACAAGGGTAACACCTATTACCCCCTCCATAAGGCCAGGGCATAGTTATGTATGTTTGACTAAGAACATGTTATATGAAAATATGCTTACAATGTAAATGATTTAAATAAGCTAAGTGTATTGAAAATATTTGTAATATAAATAGCTACTCTACACTGCTAAACATGTTAGACATATATTTCTGTACTAAATGAAATGAAGAGTTTATCATTCTATGTGCATCTTATGAATAGATAAGACAACTTATAAAGATAGATGACTACTCTTTTAGCATGATTAGGTATGTTAGACCAATGTGGTCAAGAGAAATTCAAGAAAAAGAGAAAATACAGCATTTTTACTGTCAGAAGTTAAAAAAATCTAAATGGCTAAGTGAGAAAACTCTACCTACAAAATTATATTAAAACAAATCAATTCTACATGTAGGAACATGACAAAATTTCTAACATCAAAAGAAAACTATTAGTTACACAGTGTGCAATTGTCCTAATACGAGAATTTATCGGGTCAATAAAATTCATATCGGGTGAGGCGAAGCCAAACCCAATATGAATTTTATTGACCCGATAAATTTCGTATTAGGTCAATTGCACACTGTGTAACGAATTCATCCTGATTTTGTTATACATGTATCAACACTTATTATATTCAAATTCAATTATTAGGACAATATCAACCAAATATATTTAGATATTTACTCTAAAACAGTGAAAAATGAAGCAACTAAAAAAAAAAAACTAAAAAAAAAAAACCCTTTTTTTTTTTATTAGGTCAACATGGTCAATGGTATACAGTCAAGGGTGTAACTAAAATAAGTTATTTGAGAAAAATAACATACATGTGTTATTACAGATACTTTCATGAGTTGTCTACTCTTTTTTTCTTAATCTGTAGTAACATATGTTTGTTATCAGTTAAATGTATCATAAAAATTTTTATTTTCAGTGGGCACTTGGGAATTCTTAAAACAGTAACTTAATACATAACCTTGAAAACCAATTCAATTAATACATTTTTGATCAACCATGGTAAATCAATGAGACAAGGATTTTAAGTGATAAACTTAGCTGTAATAACAAGGCTTAGTTATTACAGGCATGTAACTTATTATATGAGACACTTGGGAATGATTTGGAAGCTTGCGCAGTACCTCATTACATGCTCTGATCATTATTTATTACAATAAATTAAAATACATAGTGATATATGTCTGAGAAAAGGCTTTGAAGAGACGTAGAGAAGCTGTAATAACACCCTTTAGTTATTACAGGCATATATTTTCTGTAATAACATAGCTGTACTATGCATGATTGGCAAACTATGGACTGTTATATCTTTCTAAAGTTTAGTATACATAAAGACAATTATAATATCAAAAGAACTTGTATACAATTTAACAAAATAAAGGATGTATATTGCACCTTTGAAACATGTAACATACATATGTTATCACAGTTTTATGATTTTTTAGCCCACAATATTAAACAAATGTATGTTATTTTTCTCTAATAACTTATTTAAGTTACACCCTTGACTGGTATAAGGGAGATAATTGACTTAATAAAAAATTGCACTGAAATTTATTAGGACAATATCAGACAATCAAATGGCGAGAAATTACTCTAAATCAGGATAAATTATCTTATCTTAAAATCAATCAAAGTAGTTTCTCTTCAGTGGTGGATATGATCAAATGTTTTCCTTTAACAAGAGTTATCTCCAATAATTTGTGGATGATTTGATTTGATTTTGATTTTTGGTGTTTTAACGCCACTTTTAAGCACCGCTTTTGGGCTATTTCATGGTGGCCAGTTTATATTGGTGGAGGAAGCCGGAGTGCCCAGAGAAAACCACAGACCTTCGATAGGAAAACTGACAATCCTAGTCAATTAAGATTGGAGTCGAGTGCACCCTCACGAGCGGGGTTCGAACTCACAACCTCAGTGTTGACTGGCTAGTGATTACAGTAGTAACTACTTAGACTACTCGGCCACCGAGGCCCCTATTTGTGGATGACATGACCCTTATATGACTTTTTGATTTTTTTAGCAATTGGTTAATATTATGAAATATACTTTTGGGAGTAAAAATTGGTTGGGGCTAGAGAAAATTAGAAAACATTTGTTAACATGGTTAAGGCAAATAGAAAAATTACTATATGGTCAATAACTGTTTGGGTCAGACTGATCTAATACTTACATGACCTTCCAACTTGTCCTGTGACCTCAGCAGTAGGAACCTCAGCAAGGACAGCCCCGCGAAGCTCCTGATACCGAGGTCCATAACCTCACCCGCCACTGTAAAGATAACAAACAGACACAACATTACAACACAGATCTATACACTCTAAAGAAACAGCAGTTTTTATTGGTTAAGTGTGGGTACAGTACACACAAGATGAGTCAGTCAAAAATCACCCTTTATGGAGAATCAGTAATGACTGTGAAACAAGGTGTTTTCTGGTGAAAAAAAGACCAAAAGGCAATGTGTCTGTAAGAGGATTATTTTATAAACAGCATGGTTCATTTCCATATATTTAATTTCTATTTTATCACAAAATCTATGGAAAAACTAATAAAACATTGTACACATGTTGTATTTACACAGTATCCACAGTAACACGAAACTATGAATCAACATACATTGTATGTCACTTAGTGTTTTTTTTCAATACTTGTGAATGCAGATACTTGTTAGTGATTAACTCTGCAATACTTCTCTGTATATTCCATACATATTATATTCATGACATAAGGTTGAAATTTAGGATATTTTCACTTTAAATCCTCAGCAATCACAGTGATTCACTAATCAAAGGGGACTTTTAACTTGATCACTATGTGTGTATTGTAGGTAGACTAACACAGTATTACAACAGACTGTATCCAGTAACTTACAGAGTCTACCTTTGGTACCAGACACACTGGCATACTGAACCTCCTGCAGTATAACCTTACGGAGGTCTAAATACTTAGATAAGTAACCTCATCCAGAGCTGCAAGTTCATACAAAAAATACATTAAATGTAACAACAAAAATCATAAAAGTCAAAGGGAATAAAAACATGAAAACACTCAATTATCTAGTTCCTGCCATGCCTTAAAACTTTACTAAATGCACAGGTGTGTCTGAACTTAGGCCATTCTTTTTTTTTTTTTTTTTTTTTGGCAGATGAAAAAAAAATGTTGCTGTGGTATCATTTGACAATTTTCAATGATGCTTTTTAAAATTGTCTGATTACCTCTTCAAAGAGTGTCAACATTGCTCAATTAACATTCCTTTAGTTTCACATAGCTTGAACCACAATATAGAATGTAAAACAAAAGATTACTGTCAGGTTAACAGCATAGTTCTCTGTAGACATGGAAGAGCTAAACTGATTTTTCACCAAAAAATAAAATAAAATAAAAAGTTTTTCCTGTCTGCCAGGCCTTAATTATTTTTACATGTTAGGGGAAACCAACATTATTTTTCCATGGTTTTAGAGAAAAATTTTGGTGTGTAAATACATTTATTTATCAATTCCTTCTGGTGACCTTAATAGACATGTTAGATATATATTATTCATTGTAAATAAACAAACTTGATCAATCTGATTTTATTGATACTTGAACTAATAATAACTTATATGAAATGATAATTTTGGGTACTAGCACACAATATGAAAACAGTACCAAACGGTTTACATGGTTTAGGTAGGTTATGACTAGCTTCCTGTTCAAACTGTTTCAAAATGTCAAATTACAATGTAAGAGTACAAAATGGTCATTTTGGGGTAAAATGGCAATGATACAAAATGGTTAAGTGATGAAATGACTAGCTTCCTTTAAAGTTTCTATTCATGTTCAGCATATGACAGATATAAATACCTCCTTGGCAGCTCCTGAATTAATGGTTCTGAATAGTAATCAGGAGAGGTGAGTAAATTTAATGATTATGTCCCTTTCGTTGAACTAACAGGATCATTAATAAATTGTGAGATGTCATTGATTTACTGACCTTGAAATTTACGCCTCTGGCAAACAAAACTTGTAATCCAATATGCCTGACAGACTAGTAAAAAATTCTTGGCTTTACCAAAATAGAAAGTGGAAAATCCTTCCTCACTAGTTTTATCTTAGCTAATCGGATTCAATTGTACATTGTTCAGGCAGAGATTTCAATCAACAGTCCTGGAGGTATGATGCATTGGTTGATTACGGAACCGTAGCTCATAGGTCCTTATGATATTTTTTGACAATTTGCGGACCATAGATAGTGTCAAAAAATATCATAAGGACCTATGAGCTATGGTTATGCAGCTATTGATCGATATAACCTATTGTGGCGGACAGCCCGAAACCATGCAACAAGTATTGCTAAATATTAGTACAGGCACCCAACATAGTTGCCAACTGACATGATATTCGTGAGTAATACACACTTTTTCAACGGTTTACACGCAAGGACTTTGTCACATGGCGTGTACACACTTTTCACCACTGTACACGCAATTACACCTTTTTTCGTTGTTTTGATTTTTTGGTCGTTAGTGATATTGCGATTCTCTGTTTTTTTTATTATTAGACGATAAATACTGAAAATTTCGAAGTAATTGTTTGGTCGCCATTGTTTATTTTTCTATATGGACGTACAGCAAAAAGCACTTAAGGTAGGTAGTTTGTGATTAGTTTTTACGATTTTGTGACTTTCTTTCAAATTCACGTAGGGGAAATGTCCACAGAAAGAGGTCGCTTTCAGGACCTGTACCGTCGTCTAAAGAGCCGATTGTTAAGTGAAAACGATGTGTACGTCTAAGATTCAAGATTTATAAATTATATTTGGGAGTTGAGTTTAAATGATCGAGGGACAAGTAATGCATTGTGCACCATATGTTGCAATCATAACAATACATGTGAGAGGAGAACTACAATGTAGCTATTTGATTAAGCATTTAATGTGTTTAATGGTAATCAAATAATAAAATATTTTTCTTTTTCAGTTTCAAATCTAGCCAACAGATTTCCACAGGCCATAGGGGATGGAAATATCACGGAACTGTTTGATCAGTTCTCATAGTACCAGCTGTCTTCTGATGAACTACCTAGTTTTGACCAGGCAATAGCAACATATACATGATATATATATATAGTTTGTTGGGAGCAATGGCAGAGATAATAGATGACATTTTAGATGGCAAAAAAACGTTACGACACTCTTTCAAAGCTTGATTAAGCTATTTTAGTTCAGCCAATATCAATTCTGACTGTGAGAGAGCATTTTCAATTATAAAGAATATCACACTGAATTCTGATCAGAACTTGACAATGATATATTGTGTGCCTTGTAATCAAGTAAATGTAACCAAACTGGCAGTTGTTTTGAATTTGTTCCTAGTGGTGTTGCTTTAAAAGCAGCAAAACAGATCACTGTTGAATACAATAAAAGTTTATAGTATAATATTGTTTTTTATATTAACAAATTTGTATATAAACATGATAAATGTGATTTAATTTTATGAACATTGTTCATATTAAAAAGTCTGCATCTACATCACGCATTTTCACACGCATTTTGACATGTCATGTCATGTCATGACATGATTTCTCATTGTCAGAGGTTAGCAAGTATGGCAACTAAGGATCATTGCCAGTTTCGAAACAAAGAACTATTTATGAAGTGGGAATCAAATGAGGGTGATATATCATACAAAAGTAAAAATGCCAAATACCACCAGCAAAACAGGAAAAGAACATTTGTTGTGGCCAGAAAGATTCCCCCTGGACTAGGTAGAGTGTAACGATTATAGCCTTTCAAGACGTCATAATTTTAAAATTTGGATTAATGACCAAAAACCTATGAAAATTTACTACTTCTGCTGTACTCTCTCACAGTTAACACCTATCTTACATCCAACCTAACAAATGCTAACCAATATTCAATGTGTACTTTCACTCCCATGACTTTTATCCTCCTGTCAAGACTCAAGAATAGTATTTTATTTTCTTTGACTTTGTCTGAAGTTGAGTGACGAAAAAAATGTTTGTCAGTATCTACTGGATCTATAAAAATAAACGGAAGGGCAATGTGAGATTGAATCCAAACAGTAAACCAGTCAAAATCAATGTCACAAAATAAGTGTTACGTTTTCCGAGCTTAAACTGCATTGAGTAACAACATTATTTTGACAATCTTAAGATGGTTATGGAAAGTGTTAAATTCGATCAATATATGTATTCAAACTGTCATTGGATGCGCCAATAATAAGAATAAGAATAAGAATAAGAATATTTTATTTCCAATTAAAGGGCCCTATAAAGAGCTTTCATCACATTACATACAAGTACATAAGATTAGACATGAATTAGAGACATATAAGAAAACAACATCGTTTAATACTATTAAAAAATGCTATAAAAGGCCAGGACAGAACCAGATAATACAATTCACATCTTTGAAATATACCATTCAAAATCATGTACCACTCAAAATATGTGTATTTGTGGCTAATTTGCATTTATTATCTTTGAAACTTCTTCTTCTCTCAAGATTTTTTGATAAATACTTTCCCAAACATTTATACATATTTAAATTTTCTTGTGTAAATAGCCATGAAAACTTTGAAAAATTGTCTAAAGATTGAAAATTATTACAAGTTAGAGAAATTTCAGTAAAAAACTCATTTCTGTTATCAACATATAGTGGACATTCAGTCACAAAGTGTATCTCATCTTCAACTTTATTTAATGTACAGTATAAATATTTTCTAAGTGTTCTATTAACATACATTTTGGCATATCTATCAGTCTCAATCCTTAATGGATGAGCGCTTATTCTAATATTACAGATTGATTGCCTTAATCTAAAATCTTTTAGATCCAAATATTTTTCAAAACAAAATAGAGTTTTAAAGGAAAAATAGGTATTAAGTTTACCTTGATCTGATTGTAAAATTTTATTTCTATTTTCCTTCCAGAAATGGAGATAGTTCTTATATAGCTTATCTTTGATAAATTTTGTGAAAGAGTAGATACTGGTATTTAAATTACATGTTTGTATGCCCAGCTTTTGTAAAATACAGTCTATACTTGAGAACCATGTATTCACTTTATTATTGTGAAGTTCTTTACTACATAAATATGCATCATATAATAACATGTTCTTAGAATTATCTAGTCGATGATAATATATTAACATTGCTAATATAATATAAAAATACATTGGGTATCTCCCTAGTTCAGAAGTCACAGCAAGATTACTGGATTTCTTATTTACACCTAGTACATATTTCATAAATTTGATATGTGATTTTTCAGATGTATCATTTGAAAACACCTTTTCTAAAATATATTGATCATTTTTCTTACATGCAGCTGAGTTTACAGAAAACATACCCCAGACTTCACATCCATAGGTTAAAATTGGTTTTACAGTATGGTCATATAAATGAAGTAAAGTTGAAACACTAGGGTTTGATATGAATAATATTAAACGACTTTTTAACAACTAATAAGAAAAGTTACATCTGCAATTTTAAAAGAATTTTATATTTAAGAAAATAAAATTGCAGTTGAATCTTAGTTTACTGAGCATTTTCATTTGAATGTATTTAATGTTCCGTAAAAAACTAATTGCACTTTCCTTATGTATTTTGTTTAAGGAATTGCTCTCTCTCTCTAAAATCATCTACGATAGTTTGGAAATTCAGTGGCATACCATGCATGTTACAGTTATTTCCCTTATACAAAATCTGAGATAAGTTAATCCTTCCAATTAAAGACCAGAGGCTCTTTTCATAAAATATCTTACGATTTATACTGAAATCATTTCATGACCTACAAGTGGTTTTTTTTTCGTAAGATTTGTGAAAAGAGTCTCAGTTTCGACCATTGAATTCTTGCAAGATTTAGCGTATCGGATAAAGTGGTGATGTCGGGACTTATATGGAAAATGTTTTGACAAACTATGATGTCATACATAAAACCAAAAAGATGTTTTTATGTAATGAGTGTCCTTTATTACTGTCACATGATTCTTTAAAATTGACGGCCTTTTTTCTCTATTCTTTATATTTTTTATCAGTTATTCTCAATTCTTTATATTTCAGCACCCCATTATTCTATATATTTTCTGCCCTAGCCAACCTTAATTCTGCATTTTTTGTCCAATATTAGTATTACCTATTCTGTAATTACATCTCATGTATCTACCGTATATTTTGACGAAACGTGCATGTGGCGTATTATTCAGTACAGTCTGATACGTTGCTTAAAGTCTAGAGAATCTAGCTGATTCATAGATATAATTAAGAAGATGTGGTATGAGTGCCAATGAGACAACTCTCCATCCAAGTCACAATTTGTAAAAGTAAACCATAATATGTCAAAGTACGGCCTTCAACACGAACATTGGCTCACACCGAACAGCAAGCTATAAAGGGCCCCAAAAAATGACTAGTTTGAAACCATTCAAACAGGAATACCAACGGTCTAATCTATATAAAAAAACGAGAAACGAGAAACACTTATGAACCACTTCAACAAACGACAACCACTGAACATCAGGTTCCTGACTTAGAACAGGTGCAAACAAATGCAGCGGGTTTAAACGTTTTAATAGGCGCCAACCTTCACACTACCTGAAACAATAGTGTAACATGACAACATAGAAAGACACACTATAAAATATCAATTGAAATGGCTTAACTCAATCAAAAGACATATTAACAAAAACAAGTGAACATACACTGAACGAATAAATTTGATCTATGACACAATGTAAATACAAAATTAATAAAACAAGGGGGTTATATGTAAAACAATATCAAAAAGACAACCATAACCTTGGACAAATGCCACCAAATAAAATAACGTACACAGGTAAATAAAAATAATTTTGTTGTAAGGTATACATGGAGTACGGAAATAATTTTTTTACAAAATAAATAATTTTGTTGTTCCTAGTACGAGAACAAAAGTGAAAATTTATCGTCATACTAAACACTTATCAAAGGTGGTATATATTAAAAATAGTGAGACTAGATATAACACTGAATAAGTAAACATCAAATACCAAAAATACATTACAAATTGTATCAACAGGTCAAAGTACGATTTGAGAGTACTCACTGTTACTAAAAGCTAGTTAAAAGCCAAAAACAATTAATAATAAAAAAAATCATGCATCAGAGACTAAAATTAACTCAAACACATCCCAGGGATTTAGTGTTTTAATGCCATGGACAGTCAAAGGAGACATGACTTGTGCAATGCCAAAATAAAAGTATCGACAGGCAGTGGGATAGTTAGGAGTTAACATGTATTTATAAAGGTTACTCGGGAACACGTGTATTTGTTTACTTTTAACACGTGTGTTTAAATCAAAACATGTTTATGTTTAATTTGATTGGACCATCAGTAAGTTATTACCGGTTTAAGTTATATCAATCATGATAACTTCATGCTAGAATTTTAGCGCTAAAATTATAATAAGATATCTAGAATTGTCATTCGAGGTTCGCCTATCCGACAGAAAGGTTCGTTTTCCCACCCACCCACCCCTTTTATTAAGACTTCATAGGAATGTGAATCAGTATGTTATGTAGAAAATAGTTGATAAAATACATGTATGTAAATCGAAATGATTTTTTCTTCAACTTATAGAACATTTTTCTATTGTAGATTGTGTTTATATGTGATGGCAGCGGTCGATGACAGCAAATTGGACATTTGTTTATTGTTTATAATAAAAATAAGCTTTCTGTGCTGTCGGGGCGAGCTGATAACCAAAAACTGTGTTGAGTTTTTACTTTGTAAATGCTTTATGTTCGTTTGAAGTATTGAATAAGAACATAACTGTTAATTCAGTATATATAAATATCAATATACAATTATATATAGTCGATCAGATTTAACAGTTTCCGAATCTTAGAAACATAAATTCTGAAAATCTTGTTATCTGAAGATTTAGATTTTAATACAGTTTTTAGTCTGTATCTAAATAAAATTTTCCAGATGAGACAGGAAAAACGAGACACACCAGTCAAGTTAAGGTAAACAAATGGAGTTATCCCTCTTTGTACTGTATAAATTCATAATCATGTTTCCATATTTGTTCTAAACATTTTATTTTATCAACAATCAGTATGTATGTTAGATAGCATGTGTTGTTTGTGTGGATATTGTATGAACTTTGTGATTTGTATTGATTTAATTTATATGCACTTTATGGACCCTAGCTTTAATTAGGAATAAAGACATTTGTTTGATTTGATTTGACTATGTAATGTATTCATCTATCTGACCAAACCTAATTACACAGAGGCGGATTTATGGATCCAGTTACATATATATTAAAAGTCCAACTCATAAGTAAACGTTACTTTTCCCTACTCTACTTTTCCCTGTTTCAGAATCCAACCAGGATCTACATCTGATTTGCCATATATAAAGCAATACTGTAACCTGTGATAAAGCAATACTTTAACCTTATATTAAAGCTGACTCTGCATGGACGCCTGTTGGGTGATGTTGTACTGTATTCATGTCATTGCCCAGTTGTTAAGTTGACGTAAGAGATTCGTTGTCTATATGCATATTTGCGGAATAATATATAACAAAATGACATCTCCTCGGCAAGCTGTAATAAAAGTGATTTGTGTGGTTGTGTGTCTAATTGTTTTTTCCGAGGGAGTGGGGTTTGCAGTTTATCGTTTATCGGTCGATAAAAAAAAACCGTTTTGCGTTGGTCTTTCGGTAATCACATCGGTTGTTTGATACTTACAAAAACTATGTTTCCTTTGTTTCACTTACAACAGTGAAATATGTATACAAATATATGTCTCTGCTTAAGGGAATGGTCATTATTTATCAGCTGAGGGGGTCGGTTCAAATTTTTCACATTAAAAGGTTTTGTTGGCAACCCCCCCCCCCCCCCATGATTCTTATGAATCACATGATGACCCCCCCTGAGAACATAGTTTGAAAAGTTTGACCCCCCCCCCCCACACCAAACAAAAATCTCTATCCATTAACAGTTGGGAGAAGATGATAACTGCAAGTTACATAGTACAAAGTTGCAGG